GTTAGTTGGGGAATGACATGTCTGCAAGCAAACAAGCTTAGAGAGCATCAAAAACTCCACTGTTTTCTCTCTCTCTCTCTTCTCTCTCTTTCTCTCCCCCCCCCCCCACACACACAGAGGGAGAGAGAGAGAGATCATTCTGTACCTTTTATATACAAAACAATAAAATAAATGCATAAATAAATACTCACAAATCCATGTAACACAGGATTCAAATCTGGTACATAGGCTTCAGGGAAAACATTGCTTAGGTACCAGGTAAAATTTTTACATTGTAATTGTTGTCTTAACTCGTATCTTTTTGAGAGATTGCCAAATGTTTTCTGTTGAAACAATGCTAAATAATTAGTATACAGAAAAAAATGATAATAAATTTCATTAGAAGTACTTTCTCCTTTATAAAAAAGAGATCTGTAAATTAAATTGGTTAAACAAATGTAAAAATACTTTCTAAGACCAAAAAGGGAGAAAATGATATAAACGAAGAATATAATAGTTAATTACCATATTTTAAGAAAGAAGTCATGGTCTTGATGGCCTGACGTAGCCTTGCTTTTATATATATATATATATATATATAAATACTTAATAACCCTGACAACAGCCAATGTGAACTCTCTGAAGTCTTACAATTGGCCATGCCAACTATGTAATCCTGGAAACTTTAGTCCACAGATCCAGGGGTTGCAAGGCTGGGAAGCAGTCATTTCTAAAACAGGCTTCTTACCATCATGGGCCATACTCTTACTGTTTTTATTTATTTATTTATTTATTTTATTTCCTACCTTTATTATTTTTATAAATAATTCAGGTCGGTGAACATACCTCATACTCCTTCTTCCTCCTATTTTCCTGACAACAACAACCCTGTGAGGTTAGTTGGGCTGAAAGGAAATGACTGTTGCAAAGTCACCCAGTTGGCTTTCATGCCTAAGACAGAACTAGAACTCACTGTCTCCTAATTTCTAGCCTGGTGCCTTAACCAAAGAACAAATGAGATTTAAAATCACATAGTTTAGCTAATACTAACATGCTCACAATAATAATTCAACCATACTAGACAGGTCTCATCAGAGGAACTAGGTGAAGCGTGTCTCTCCCATAAACAATATGATGATGTGTGACTTGCAGAAATCTATGCCTCGGTCAACTAAGACTCCACTATGGGTTTGAGATCTCAGACATCTGGTGACAAATGGGCTGTAGGGCTCAGGACTTTGGCTGAGCAACCAGGCCCAGCAGCTACAAGACTGTTGGAAGAAAAATTGTCGCAAATATATAAAAATTGAAAATTAAAAAGGGCCAGAGATAAATTTTTGGGAAGAGCTAGCGAAGTTTAAAACTGGGGAAGACATCCAGCAAATACAGGGAGGAGGAAAGGGGAGAGGGAAAAGGGCAAAGACTCCCCCTTCCCCTTAGAAAAGAAGGTTGTTTCTGTATACATCTGGGCAAGAAACGATAGAAAACAACACAGACCACACACACACACACACACACACACACACACACACTATCTCTTTTCTCATTGCTAATGAGAAAGGGCCAGAGATAAAACTTTTTGGAATGGGGCAATGTGGCATCATTCATTTTAAGGTTGACTCTCTGAAGCCTTGAGTGTCCCCAAAGGGCCTTCAATTCAAATCCCTGGGTCGCACTGCAACGAGGGGGTGCACAGAGCTCAAGGGGTATTGGTGGGGAAGGTAAGCTGGAGCAAGGACGGAAGGAGAGAGGAAGCGAGAGACAGGGAGAAAGACAAGGAGGAGAGGAGAAAGAGATCCTCCCTCACCTCTGGCATTTAGCAAATTATCCTGAGCAATTAATTATCCCGCTTGGTGAATCTGCTGGGATGAGTTGTGCCACAGTGAATTGCCTGTGGGGGCAAACTGGGGAGTGGGGCCGTGGTGGGTCAGCTGGGGCAGGGGACCAGAGTGAGGAAGCTGTGGCCAATTGTCCCATTCCATCCTCATATCCTGAACCTATGCCATAAAGGCCCCTTTATTACAGACCCCTCACATCCCGGACATAAACTGTTTCAACTCCTTCCCTCAAAACGACGCTATAGAGCATTGCACACCAGAACAACTAGACACAAGGACAGTTTTTCCCCGATAGCCATCACTCTGCTAAACAAATAATTCCCTCAATATTGTCAAACTATTTACAAAGTCTGCACTACTATTACTGTTAATCTTCTCATCACTCCTATCACCCACCTCCTCCCACTTGTGACTGTATGACCGTAACTTTGTCGCGTGTATCCTTACGATTTACATTGACTGTTTCCTAGTATGATTTGATTGCTTATCGTACCCTATGAATATTATTAAGTGTTGTACCTTATGATTCCTGACTCTTGATGAATGTATCTTTCCTTTTATGTACACTGAGAATATTTGCACCAAGACAAATTCCTTGTGTGTCTAATCACGCTTGGCCAATAAAGAATTCTGTTCTGTTCTGTTCTATTCTATTCTAAAGGGCTTTAAAAGTAATGAGCTGTGAATTGCACTCAGAAGCAAACTGGCAACCAATGCAGCTCGCATAGCAGTGGAGTCATGAAGTTTCCATCAACTTATTTTCAGATATTTTAAACACGTTTTATAGCAAGTATAGTTACAACATTTTTCAATTGTTTTTTATTGGAGCATTCCTCCAGAGAAACGTCCTACAAGTTAAGTTACTTCTTTGTAATTTGGAAGTCCCATATTATGTTCTCCATGAGCAAACGTGGTTAGTTGAATTAAAGGCCCCTTTATTACAGACCCCGGGGAGGAGGGGGGGAAACGGGGCTTTCCATTTTAAAAATAACAGCTCATTCACAACTGGTACGCAGAACTTCTTGGTATATATATCTTCATAAGTTTATAAACTGATAAAAATTTATCTAATCCATATTATATTTAAAAGTTCTAGGAATTACAAAATATTAATGGCTTAGAGTTAAGATTTCAGAAAAACTCATTTCCTTATTTGCAGAAAGGCATTCTTGATTTACGCTGAATACAGTACTAAAGCAGTTTTTCTGGTTCCCAGTTTTGCTGATATCTTTTGTTTGTGGTATTGCTATTACCTGTCACTGCTACTGTTACTAAGGTATAAAACTTCTCCAAATAATGAAATAAATTCTTTACAATAATTTATTTCATTATTTGGAGAAGTTTTGGATTTATAATGAATACTAAGAATAGCTATTCCAATGTTTACAACTATCTTTTGTTTGAAGCAAACTGTTGCCTAATCACACTTTGATTAAAAACCACAAATTTACTCATTGTCTTATTTTAGAAAATCCTTACCTGTACCCTGGGACAGAAGAGAAATATGGAGGGAAATAGAATCTGAGAAAATTATAGCATCTAAAAATAACTATACAACTGAAAGTAGCTGAGTAATGAATGGCACATTGATAAAAGGAAAGAAAAATACAGCGAAACAGATTACTTTTTTCCTTACTTTCTCATATGGTATAGCAAGAATACATTTCAATTCTGTGATTCTTTCAACCAAATTTCCACTATCTAGGTCAGAGGTGTCAAACTCGCGTCATGGCAGTTTTACATGATGTATCAGGTCTTTTCTCCCCTTCACTAAACCGGGTATGGATGTGGCCAGCACATGACATATCCGGCCCACAGGCTGGGAGTTTGACAGCCCTAATCTAGGTTTTATTTATTTATTTTGACTTTATCACTGCTGATCTCTAAACATTGTTTGTTACAACAGAAACAAAAGCACATAATGCTCTTTTATAGTAGTACTAGCCTGATACCTGTGCTTCGTTAACAAACTATGTGATTGGGTTTAGTTTTTGGGGAGGAAAATAAGGAGTAAAATTGTGCCTCTGCATATCAGCATCCATTGGTATTCATCTGGCTAGCATCCTGCCAGTGTGTGAGAGAGTTGAGGGCTCCTTGGAACAGTATTTGCTGTGTGAACAAGAGGGAGACAGCAAGGAGCCTGGATGTGGCTTAGCTCAACTGTTCTGTACTAAAGCTGCTTGGTGCTGTGAAACTAAAACTGAAACTCCTCTCCTCTGCTTTGTGTTTTGCATTTGGAACAGATTTCTTTTCAGGTGGGGAGGGGGAGTAGAACTCCTTAGCATCAGAGCTGTTCATAATAATATACAAAATACTAATGCTCTGATAGTCATTTGGAAAAATCCTTTCTTAGTGAGCACCTAGAAGCTAAGAACAACATATGTGCCACATTTCAAGTTTGTAGGCTTTACAGTTCTGGAGATTCTGTGATGATGCGTGGGAGGTATTTCACTTTTATAGAGAGAGAGATTCCAAAATGTTTGTTTGCAAATTTTGGTGGACGAGTCTAAATATCTAGATTAGCAATGAATATATAAATTAAAAACAGTGGAACCAGGATGCAGCCCTGCTTAATATCTCTGAAAATAGAAATTTCCTTAGCAATGGGTATTTCAAAAGATCCTTAAATATGAACTTTTACATAGTGTCAACATCAGGAGAAATAGGCAGTGATCGATTGTCACTGAAAACAATTTGTAGCTTGAGATCAGGTTAAATGCAGACTTAAAATAAACTGATGTTGCATAGAGATAAATTTGGTTTATTTCTCAGCCAGATGGTTTGATATAAAGGCTGGGTGTAAAACAGAAAGCCAGGATGAAAGCCAAATTGTTGCTTTGCCAGGATATTTTCAGACTCCATCCAAACCACTAATCAACCATACAGATGTCTGGCATACAACCTGCGGACTATGCTCAGCAGGCTGATAGGACTACAATTTGGAAGTAACTTTTCCTCAACCTTATAAAATGTAGGGATTAATACTGCCACTTCCCAATCTTTGAGGACACGTGCAGTGTGGTTAATAAGAGCAAAAAGGAGTTAGAATTGAGGCCCACCATTCCCTGTTGCTCTTGATTGCTTTTGTTACTACAGTTGTGCTCATAAGTTTACACACCCTGGAAGAATTTATAATTTCTTGGTCATTTTTCAGAGAATATGAATGATAACACAAAAACTTTTATTTCACTCATGGTTAGTGGTTGGCTGAAGCCATTTATTATCAATCAACTGTGTTTATTCTTTTTAAATCATAATGATAACAGAAACTACCCAAATGACCCTGATCAAAAGTTTACATACCCCATTTCTTAATAATTCATATTGCCCTCTTTAACATCAATGACAGCTTGAAGTCTTTTGTGGTATGTGTGGATGAGGCTCTTTATCTTCTCAGATGGTAAAGCTGCCCATTCTTCCTGGCAAAAAGCCTCCAGTTCCTGTAAATTCTTCGGCTGTCTTGCATGAGGTCGAGACTGAGATGGTCACTCCAGAACCTTCACTTTATTCTTTTGTAGTCAATGACAGGTCGACTTGGCCTTGTGTTTAGGATCATTGTCATGTTGGAATGTCCAAGTACGTCCCATGCGCAGCTTCCGGGCATTCATCTTGCCATCAATTCTGACCAAATTTCCTGTGCCTTTGTAGCTCACCCATCCCCAAAACATCAGCGATCCACCTCCGTGTTTCACAGTAGGAATGGTGTACTTTTCCTCATAGGCCTTGTTGACTCCTCTCCAAATGTAGCATTTATGGTTGTGGCCAAAAAGTTCAATTTTGGTCTCATCACTCCAAATGACTTCGTGCTAGGTTTGAGGCTTGTCTCTGTGCTGTTTGGCATATTGTAGGCAGGATACTTTGTGGCATTTGCATAATAATGGCTTTCTTCTGAAGACTCGACCATGCAGCCCATCTTTCTTCCAGTGCCTCCTTATTGTGCATCTTGAAACAGCCACACCACATGTTTTCAGAAAGTCCTTTATTTCACCTGAAGTTATTTGTGGGTTTTTCTTTGCATCCTGAACAATTTTCCTGGCAGTTGTGGCTGAAATTTTAGTTGATCTACCTGACTGTGGTTTGGTTTCAACATAATCCCTCATTTTCCACTTCTTGATTAGTGTTTGAACACTGCTGATTGGCATTCTCCATTCCTTGGATATCTTTTTATATCCCTTTCCTGTTTTTTTTTCCTGTTTGACTACATTTTCCTGCACATCCTTTGACAATTCTTTTGCTTTCCCCATGACTCAGAAGCCAGAAACATCAGTGCAGCACTGGATGCAAGATGCAAGGGTCTGTCAGGAGTCCAGGAACTCATTGACCTTTTATACACACAATTACAAGCAAACAGACCACAGGTGAAGATGGCTACCTGTAATAGCCATTCAAACCCCTTTGGGCTAACCCGTGTGCATGTTACCAGGCCAAAATCACCAGGGTATGTAAACTTTTGATCAGGGTCATTTGGGTAGTTTCTGTTGTCATTATGATTTAAAAAGAGTAAACACAGTTTAATATAATAAATGGCTTCAGCCAACCACTAACCATGAGTGAAAAAAAAGTTTTTGTGTTATCATTCATATTCTCTGAAAAATGGCCAAGAAATCATACATTCTGCCAGGGTATGTAAACTTATGAGCACAACTGTATGTGACTGTACCTGGTGGTTTTACCACGCTTTAGCTGCTTTACCAGCACATTTCCATACAGATTACTGGTGACTACTGGTCTGTGTATGTCCTTGTTTATAAATGGCTTCTTTGCCCTTTTTGTATAGTGTCTAATAGCATTTCTCTCATTTTGCTGCAAGATAAGGGAGTCAAATTGAGATAATTTTTGAAGTGAGATACAACAACACTACAAAAAAGTGCTGAATTTTCAGATTTTCAGTTGTAGTAATCAGCTCTGGCTAAGCCATCTTTGTAGCTTCCCTCATTTCACCTTTGAGCAAGTCTTTGATATTTAAAGTTCAGTGGAGAAAGGTTAATGGGTGACCTCAGTACACTTGGTATGTGTATTACAGGAAGTCTCCAGGTTATGAACCTCTGGCTTATGAACAATTCCTAATTATGAACAGGCTGCTGACCAGCATTACGAGATCTGACTCAAATGGTGGATGAGGCTTCCACCTTGCAAATTGAAGAGCCACCGAACACAGTGCCTCCATGAGAATCATGAAGTAGTGAATGAATTTTTAATATACTAAGCAAAGCGCTATCAGTGATTCCTGAAAGCACAGTGCAGCCTCAGCAAAACTTCACCCTGAGGAAAACACCGACTACTGTATCTACCATTTATTTGCCTATCATCTTCCCACATGGTTTATATTAGTGCCGAGTTGCTTTTTGCCATTCTTATATCACTACTTCCCATTGCAACCTTTCCCTGCCTTCTTTCCCTGCCTGTTTCTCTGAAACCAGTTTCTGCTATGACATTTGTTTGCAGCAGAAAACTAGACAGCAGGGGTTTTGTGGAGCTTAGTTTGAAAATGTAAAGTAAATGTAATGTATCTGTCCCTCTTACAGCTAAGCAGCATTGATTTAGGTCATGTCTGGGGGGCATGTTGCTTGCAACACCATGTTCTCTCACAGGAGACAGAGACTCTAGCATGTACTATATGTGGTCTCCACTCTAGGTTTCATTCCAGGTTCTCAGAAATTAGAAATATACAGTTTTTCCTGGCTGATAGGAGCTTGGAATACACAAAACTTTTAAGTTTAAATAATTCAGTTTATAATCTTTAAAAATTTCCTAAGTTGCTTAAGACACAGCTTTTGTAAAAAAAAAGTACTCAAATAATAATTAAAAAAAACAACTAAATAAGTTTATAGGTTTGGCTTACAACCACCATTGGGACCAGAATCAGCATTACTAAGCAAAGCGGTTGTTAAATGAGTCACTCCTGATTTTACCATCTTTTCTGTCACAGTTGTTAAGCCAATAACTACAGTTGTTAAGCGAAGTATGCTGTCTTTAAGAAGAACTGGCTTCTCCCATTGAATTTTGATGGTCTGAAGTCAGCTGGGAAGGTCGCTAATGGTGATCACATGACCCCAGGATCCTGAGACTATTGTAAATATAGGCTGGTTGCCAAGTGTCTGAATTTTGATCACATGATCATGAAGATTGTTGTGACAGTTGCAAGTGTGAAGACTGGTTGCAAGTGCAAAGACTTTGTAACTCTGAATGGTTGCTAAACAATGTAGGTCAACTATTAAAGGCCCATAATAAACTCCTTCCATTCACCTCACTTGCGCCCATCACCCCTGGCCTCCTTTTCACCGTCCGAGGCCTTCAATAACTTCTTCTGCAGCCAACAAAGCTGGCAAGGCTTTCCTGAAGGCCTCTGCAGCCAATTGATTGATCTGGAGCTCTGTTATTGGCTGCAGAGGCCTTCAGGAAAGTCTTGCCAGCTGCAGAAGAAATGGACCCACTGTAAGGCATCCAGAAAGGCAGGTGTCAGGGTGTGAGAGGCCTAGCTACAACTGTCTGAAGGTAAGCAGTAGGGCAGCTCCACACCCCCACCCCCACCCTAGCTTAATTTTTACCCGATATTGGTACACTGCTATCATGTCACCCCTAGTCCTTCTTTTCATCAAACTAGACGCACCCAGTTCCTGCAACCGTTGTTTTATATGTTTTAGCCTCCAGTCCCCTAATCATCTTTGTTGCTCTTCTCTGCACTCTTTCTAGAGTCTCAACGTGGCGACCAAAACTGGGTGCATTATTCCAAGTGTGGCCTTACCAAGGCATTATAAAGTGGTATCAACACTTCACATGATCTTGATTCTATCCCTCTGTTTATTCAGCCTAGAACTGTGTTGGGTTTTTTTGGCAGCTGCAGCACACTGCTGGCTCATATTTAAACGATTGTCTCCTAGGACTCCAAGATCCCTCTCAGAGTTACTACTATTGAGCAAGGTACCACATATACTGTACCTGTGCATTTTGTTTCTCTTGCCTCAATGTAGAATCTTTTTTCACCATTGAATTTAACTGAATATTGTACTTATATTGCAGCACTGAATATTGTATTTATCCAAAATACTTATAAACCATATACATAAACACACACACATAGACACAGATGCACACATGATGTAAATTTAAAGGCACCGAGCTAGAAACCAGGAGACTATGAGTTCTAGTCTCACCTTAGGCATGAAAGCCAGCTGAGTGAATTTGGGTCAGTCAATCACTCTCAACCCATGATATCAGACTTGGGCGATAAAGTTAGTCAATTCTTGTCACAACCAATGAATCAATACTCAGTTGATCCAAGAAAAGCAGAACCCAGACTTGTGGGAAGAATGCTAGGGGGAAAAAAGCATAGATCTAGAACTAGCTTTGTAATATTCATTCAACTGATTAGCTCTAATTTATTTAAAGCATATTCAAGTTTTCTCAGCTCTTTCATTTTGATATAATGAAATTCTTCCAAAAGATTCCTCCAATTCTAGTTGGATGGATAGACAGATGGGCCTGACTCAATCACTCAAGTTCTGAGATTATAAAATTTTAAGTAAACTATAACTGGCTATTATTCTATTCAATATTTTGCCAAGCAAAGCAAATAATACATACATAGAGCCTAAATAAGTAATAATTTTTGCTCACCAAGAATTTCAATGAAGCAACTGATTTCTAATACCACCACCATCGCCACCTACTTGTTTAACAATTTTTGTTGCTTCTGTGTTTCTCCGATAAAATATATATTTATATTCGTCCATCCATACTTCTGCAAGGCGAACTTGATTCCTGGTAATCACTTGAGTCCCTTTTGGAAAGGTATGGGGGCTCTTGCTGCGAAACACATGACCCACAACTGAGCAAGGTATAATTTCCAACTGCCCCCCACACTGCCACACCTGAAAAATACAGAGCTGTACTCAATAAAACTTCCAGTAGCTGCTATCAGGTAAAGGTGCTGCAGGAACACGTATGTACTAAAAAGATTTAAAGTGTGGCGTTGCGACACAAATAATACTAAAACAAAGTAGTCTTTTTTTAATATGAACTAAGCATTAATTAATAATGTGTTGACCAAGCCACGGATACCACTCCTAGAATCTACACATTTTATTTTTCTAGGCTATCGTTATCACATGGTTAGGTTAATTTATCTGCTCTGTCTATAGAGTGGAGATAAACGCTTTAAGAAGTTTTAGCCTAATGCACACAGTCACGTTGCCAGTAAAGGACATGTGAATACTCTATTAACTTACTCGGAAAGACATTTCTAGATTTTCTCCTCCCCATATTTCCATTTCTTCATCATAGCTTCCAATTCTATAAAAATAGTCCTTTGATATTGAAAAGAGACCTCCTGCAAAAGTTGGTGTCCTGCCAGAGGGCGGGAGAGAAAGTAAGAGAAAGCTTTATGAAGCCAGGAACTTGTCCATCTGATTGAATAAATACACACACACACACACACACACACACACACAAAACCTTAACCTTATCTGTCTTCAAATAAATCTAATCAATTGAACTAACACCAAGCAAATACATCCAATGTTACACAAGTGTAAAACCCCTCATACAATGAAATATCTTACTAATTATGTTATTTTGCAGTCATATCCCAGCTTCTTGAAGAAAATTTGGAGTGTTATGAGAGAGCAGTGGAATTTATTCTATTCTAAGAAAACAGTATGTCAGTGAAATGACATCACTAAATATAATTATATATCAAAGTCAGCAACAGCAACCCATCAACAGCAGTGGAGCATACATTTATGAAAATGACTGACTGCTTTATGAATTTATACTGTAATCTATTTCAAAATCAGAAACAGACAAGAGTTTCTCTGGGGTTAAAAATGAGGACTTTTGATATCTGAGGATAAATAATCTTAGCTGATTTGACATTTTTTCCAGCCTAACATAGTAATATTGCTACAGTAAAATTAAATCACTGAAAAGTCAACATGTTCCATAACTTTTCAAAAGTCAGTCATTACAAAGAAGTAAAATAAAATCTAATGTAAATTTCAAGTGAATTATATCTAGGATCCAATCTGGGTCAGAGGTTTAGACTTCCAAGTTTTCAGACTTACGTTGGAATTCAGCATGGAATTCTTTCAAAGATTGCATTGCAGTTATTCAGTTATATATCATCTTTATTAATTAAATTTATTTGCCACCCATTTTTCATTTCGAAGCAACTCAATTTTTACATTGAGTGGATAGAACTTATTTTTTGTTTTAATTTTTGCACACATTAAGTGGACCAAGCTCTCTTTAGGTGCAAATAAATATATTTAAGAGATGAAAACTGGATAGGCGGATACATAATATAAAAACATAGAACTTTTTATTCTTTTGTATTTTATTAAATTTTACAAATATAACAAAACTATCGATAAAAGCAATTAACTCATGTTTCATTACTTACTTAATAGGATAGGTTTCATCTTTCCTTTTTTTGTTTTCATGTTCTGGGAGAGATTCCCAGCCAAAGGATAAACTCCAGTCAAAATTTCCCCTGTTGTGGTTTTGACCATAAGGAGAAGGCTTATTAAACTCAAAAGTATTGAGGTCAATAGATGAAATATCAGGGCTTACAACACAAGTATAATTTTCAGCTATTCTGGCTAGTAAAGGTTCTAGCCATCCATAAAAGCACTCACCTAAAAGACAGAAACGAGCAAACAGTTTTATCACCTCCACAAGAACATTTCAAATATACTTCAATTATAAATACAATTTTAGTCCCTAGAAATTATTTTTAAGAACTGTTCTCCAGGATATTTTTTATCAATTTCATAAATTGATAAATTTAGTGTTATTTATTGATAATTGTTTATAAACTGTTGGTTTATAAACAATTATCAATAAATAACACTATATATGTACTGGCAACAGAAAATATAATTAATTTTAAATATTTCTCCTAGCCTGAAAGTTATTTGAAAGGAAAAAAAAGTTAAATGTGTCTGAAGCCATATATAGAATATGGTTAAAAAAAAAATCTTGAAATTTTAATTAACCCTGTGAATAAGCCAAATATTGTTTTATTATATTTATATTAAATTTATTCCTCAGTTTTCAAACTTAATACTGTTATTTTGGTAAATAACAGCCAACATATTAACAAAGGCACAAAGAAGGGCAAGAACAAAGATTTACACAGATATAAACAAATTCTAGATTCTTCTACATTGCTTTTAGTTTATGTAAGAAAATGGAGAATTAAATCTGTGAATAAACTTGGATACTTCTCTGAAATCTGCAAAGTCTAATTTCTCATTTTTAAGAACTGTTGCAGCTGCAGTTCTTTCAACAGCATATCCATCCACTGCAGAAATAGTTTCAAAATTTAAAAAGTTGTTCCAGGGAAATTTCACAAAATAATTCTATAGAAGTAGCTGCATATTCTTTTCATCTTTTTTTCCTTATACATTTTACAAGTAGATGAGTCTAAGTCCTGAGAAATGGAAATAGAACACCTTTGCCTACTACTGTACATAAAGGTAAGAAAGCAAAGTAGTAATATTAAATTACTAATTCTGTTTCCTCACACTTAACTCTCTTGTCTAAAGTCTAAGTACTCAAAAGAATAGTTCTAATACGGGTTAGATTTTTTTTTATTTCTCCTGTTTACTGGAAGGAATTTTGAATTACCTATGAGGAACATTAATTTAAATTAAAATTGCCCTTTCAAATATAATGTTGTTTAAAATTTAGTGACCATACCTAGGAAAGAAATTTTTTAAAAAGACTGTATTCCTTTTTTTGTTACTTGGGCTAATTAGAAATTGATATTCAGTCTAACCAAGATATCCTATTCTTTCCCACTTTTTTAAAAATCAACTTAAATCTCAGAATACTCAGTATACTTCAACTTGTTCTTTAACAAATTCTGGCAATATTCACTAGTTGTTTTTGTTAAATTCTGGCAATATTTACTTGTTTTTGATACTATAAAATTATATTGGTTTAACCTTTTTTGGTGCTTGGAAGCAAACTGTTTTTGAATTTTAAATGTGCAAGGAATTGGGAGCCTGCTGTTATTCAAGGAAAGAAAAGTATTCCACGCAAGTTCAAAGATGTTTTTCTTTCCATATTTCAAGATCCTGAGACTGGAAACGTACTCCTGGTCAGAGTTTATAAGTTTTAGAAGACCTGATAGAGCAATCACTTCTAACAAGTGAGCAGTCAGCAGCACTTGACATATTTAGGTGTTATTGGAAAGTCATGAATGGTTCTGAAAAGGGCAGAGAACACTTGTGTTTTCTAATCATGGAGATCCACAGTACCATTCACTGAGCACTGGTTTTAGTTTTATTCTAATGGATAAAAACAAGGTGAAGGAAAAATATACATGTGCTGATAAATATTTTTTTTTATCAAATCACTATTTCTGTCTAACAATTCTCTGCCAAGAATTCACTTACTTATTTGGAATTACTCAATTATTAATAATTACTCCTTCTGAGATTTGCCTTCAACTCTATTAATGTTCAGAAGTGTACCTTTTAAGTTCTGAATTGCTAATAAGAAGTTATGACGGGAGCATCTCAATGTTCTCAAATTTAAGAAGTAGCACGTTAAATGATGCAGTGGGGGTATGGAATTCTAAATCTTGTCTATTTTCTCAGTTCTTCTGTAACACTATAAAAATCCCAACCATTTTATGCATTTTGTATGCCAGATTTTGTGGTGTAACCCCATTTATTTAAATACCTACTTGAGAATCTATCTTTGACTTTTAAGAAACAAAAAACTATTTCCCATCCCAACAAGATGAAAGATGTCACCTGCAATGCTTCTATTACATTAAAAATAATTCAAAAGAAAAGCATACATTTACTATATATTTATTGTATTGCATTTCAGCATACATTTCATATTATTATTCCTTTAGAGACATGTAGCAGGTTTTGCGGTTAAAACACCTTGACCTCAGAATATTCATTCCAATCTGGAAAAGAGCTCACCAGAAGTAACTTGACCCTGAAAAGAGCTATAGCAGCTCTCCTAAGTCAATGCCTTCTAGTTTTAGATTAGATAGAAATTCAATGACAGAATAAGGATAATATGATCTCAAATTACTTAGTGCTCTTCTAGTGTTCAGTGAGCTATCTAGACATACTTACAGTGTGCATCCAAAAAAGTCAGGGTTTCTCCAGTAGCTACTGAAGCACCTAACAGCCGAGCAGTGATAAGGCCCTTTCTTTCCTTTTGTCGGACAACTTTAACTATTTGGAATTGTTTCACGTAATCATCTAGTTTATCTTTCAAGTAGTCTGAAAAGAGAACAAGTCATTTTCTATAACTTCAACAAAAACAATGTTAAAGTTTACTTTAGGATCAGTTCTTTAGTGAAGAAAATTGAAAATGATATAATTTTTCAATGACCATGGCTATAGTTCTAAAAGCTTCCTTACCATCTGATTACTTAAAAAATGAACAAACCACAAAATAGATACCACCTTAATTCAGCAAAACTGTAATTGTTAACACTTTCTAGTAAAGTTAAGCTTTGGCAAATTTTTGTGCTTTTGGAAAAATTGATCCATATATTTAGTTGGAATCAAATGAACATTATTTTGTATCATTTAAAGAAATTTGGCTTTACAATCAATCACTTTATAACTGAATATTGTTAGACAGGTGTTAACATTTTAAAAGAAAAATTAAAGATTAGCTCATCCTGACTTAAAAAGACAATGGCCAATGCTTTAAAGATAATAAATTGTTGATGGAGAATATTGTTTAAGAAATATGTTCTCAATATGAATTATTTCAAGGCAATAACATTCCACCAAGTCCTATATATACGCAATCCAAAATGATAATCTTAGTTCACAATGGACTATACACAGGCACTTTTAGAATATTATTCAACTGCATGAATGGTTGCGGCAGTGTCATGCAATAGGAACAATCAGCAAGAAAGATGATGATGTTTTAATCAGAATGATGCTTTTAGAAGACAGAAGAAAAAACTGGACATGGACAACTGATATACTAGGAAAATACTTATTGATTAATAAGACAAAGAGGCATATCCTATGCCAAATTTTACTATGTATATGATTAAACATGTAATATCAGCTAGTTTTCCCCTTTGATAACAAAAACAAAGATATTGTTGATTAGCTCAGAACCAAGATAAATAACTTATTCGCCACATATACTCATTCTTCCCTTGTTTGCAGTACTGAGCCTCCCCACAATGGCTTTAATGGCTTCAGTTACTAGTTAGGTGACGACAGAAAGAATGTGGATGCTGTATTTCAACAATATGTTAAGCTGTAAAATAGCCAGTAATGGGTTGCTAAGAGCTCCAATTTTGACCACTTGACCGTGGGAATGCTGTAATGGTTGTGTGAAGTCACTTTTTCCATCATTGTTGTAATTTCAAGCAGTTGCTAAACGAATGGTCCCAAGTCAAGGATTATCTGTATGTGAATGTAGGTACAGTATATGGAAGGTGGATATTTCATCTCTTGAAAGGGCTGTTTCTTCTTTATTGAAGAAAAATGTGTATATTTCCAGGTTATATTAATTAGAAAAAAACCAAGTATGAAAATATCTAGAATTTATAGATAGCGTCTTACCATCTACACTGGCATCATCTACCAAAATTATTTCCTTCAATAATATTGCAGGGGAAGTATGCATCACACTATAAACTGTTCTCAGAAGAGTTGACCATGCTTCATTGTGAAACACTATGATAACACTTGTAGTAGGCAGTGGAGGACAGCGCTTAAATTTCTGTTCAATACATCTGGGGGATAAAACCATAGTTTATGGGAAAAAATGAATAAGACTTGTTAAATCTTAATTCTCATGGTACAGATAATGAGCTTTGCATGTACAGTAGAACTATTTCATCATTATTTTAAAAAATGTAATGAAAGTAACATGGCACAGGTTTCTAAGAATCTCATTCTAACAATAAAATGATAATCTATGTATACTGTGTGTAAAGGTATATGGAAATAACCTTGAGAGACTGAGCCCAAAAATGCTGTCTAGGGAATGTTCAGATATAAAGATTTAGAATAATTGCCCACAAAGCTGCATCATAATTAACAAATTATTCAAGTTTAAAACAGTTTAAACAGACCTCTGCTGAAAAATTGTGTTAATAGCAGCTTAATCAATGTATTGGAAGTGCTCCAATCACACATAATTTTTTCAAGATTTCCTAATATTTTTTAGATGCATGATTTGCTATGATCAACTACTTCAGATGTAGGTATATATCGGTATGCTATACCTACAGATGTAAGAATCAGCAATTATTCTATTTATTTATTTTTATATATTAAAAAAAATATAGCCATCCTATTCACAGTGACACTAGGCAACTTACAAAAATAAAATCCCAATACAAAACCTAATAAACCCTTGTGACAACAATCAAACCAATCATGGGCCCCCTATCACTTTGGGGTCCCCAGGCCCACTTGCAAAAACATGTCTTCAGAAAGACTGAAGGAGAGTCAAGATGAGGGCCAATCTTATTTCCACAGGGATGATGCGACATGGGGGGGAGAACTATAATAACAATAGTCACAGTTCACATCTTAATACAGAAATGGAAGCTCAAGGCAATCTTTTTCAATGCTTTACATATGTTTAACCAAAAACTAGAATATTTGCTTTTAAATTCAAATACATTTCAACGTACTCAGGAGGTCGTGTGTCTGGTCCTAGATCTCGATGTAGAGAAATCCTATCACTTGCAAATGCATTAAAACAATGCTTTTCTTCGCCATGCTCTTTCTCTTTCCGTTCATCTGAGCTTAAACTGATCATTTTAAATGCTTTACCAGAAGCCCCTGGAGTATTAGGATCCTGAGGGGGACGCTCAAGGTAAGGAGTCAGTTCAGCAGCTGTGTAATATCCTGGTAAACAATGCTTCTGTTCAGCATTATGAGTCTGCCTAAGAGGTGCTTTAATTTGCATTTTTGGTTTTGCAGCTTTAATGTTGTTCACGGCATTTAACACTAGATCTAATACAGTTTTCTTTTCATCATGAGACGGCATTCCTGGTTCCTCATTAAATTCTTGAACACCTACTTCTCGTTGTAACAAAACCAAAAATATTAAGAAGACAAAAATAACGAAGGTAAACTTCCAAAGTTTCTTCTGGGAAAACTGTTTCATTATGAAGCGCCGTAGCATTCTCATATAAGTCATCGTGGAGAGTCGACATATAGAAGTGCTTCAGAAAAAGTTTTTCTTTGATACAAAAAAGTTCACAAAATGGGAAAACCTGCAAGATTTTTTAAAATGTTAATCATACTAATATATGTTTATTCATAAAAATAATTGCAACAATTTAAATTAATTAATTCACAAAGACACTACGTTTCAGGGTTATTGAAATAATGTTCATTTTCTAAACTTAGAGTATTTGAATCCCGTAAGAACCCTTATCTAACCCTTATGTAAGAACCCATCTGCCAATTTATTCTTATTCCTCGAGGTGCATTCTTTAATATCTTTTAGATCAGATCCTCTAAACATTTTAATTATTAGCCATAAACAACCACTTGGGGTTATGAATCTCAAGGGAGTTCACAATATTCTGTTACGTGTCCCTCAAACTTCAAAATGAGTCATTGTGTTTTGGAAGTGTTCCAGCTTTGTAAAGGTACTTCTATTTTGAGTGCTTTGGATATGAACTAACTTTAAAGTAGTCCTTTTCAGTTAATGCCTGTTTCTCAGTTGATCACTTTTGGAACATTCCAGTGGCCCATTTTGGGGACTGAAAAGACAAAAGGTTTTGCACATCCCAAATTAAATTTCCATTTTCCCTTTCAGTATCCTATATGCATTTTCAGATATTTTTCTTTTTCAAATGAGACTTTTCTGGTTGTATTTTTGATTGCCAGGCAGTAGAAGAAAAACCTCTAGTTGCAGTATTAACCAACAGATTATTTATATCCAGTTCTATGTCATTTGAGAGGGCAGAGAGGTTAAGCTGCATTGCAATGTTATGCATTTATTTGACATGGTAGCAATTCTAATTTTCCAGATGGATGGATACTTACCAGTATGTCACTCACATAACTTTTTTTTTTTTTTTGCAATAATTTTTTTCTGTTACAACAAAAATATCCATGTGTGAATAGTGTGGTTCCATAGTCTTACATTTTGATACAAATATGACAATATTCCTCATTTAATATAGTTGACAATCTTTTAAAATTTGGTATTAATACATATATTTTATTAAATTATCAATCTTGATTATTCAATATTACAATGTTATTTTTGTGTCAATCTCTATATTCTTAATCTCACTCCTTTTACTTCCAATTATATAATCATATTTGCAATGTTTACCAGATTATATAGTTCTAATAACAATTCACAAATTTATATTAAATTATAATTTTCCACTGTTTATCCCCTTTTTAATTTCTTAATATGCCACTATTATATTTAAATCTCACATTACTTCTGAATGTGTTGATACCTGCTAGGCGCTTTGCTTTGGAGAACAAGAACTATGTCTAAATCAGAATAGTATATACTATTTATTATTTGATAAGCATCTTGCCCAATCAAATATTAGAGATGATCTCTTATGTAGCACTGGAAAGAATATTGCTCTACAACAGATGTGTGCTAGCTCTTCAGCCATGTGGCCTTATGCAAGCCTGGCAACCTGCTGTCTTAAATCTGTTTCACATATTAGTTTTTGTACAGCCAAAAAATCCGTCCAAACTGTATATATTCTTTACTATAATCAAATTATTTGAAGAGTTGCCCAATAGCCGTATGTACAAAATCTGTATCACCCTTCAGTATTATGTTCCATATTAAATCATTTTAAAAATTATGAACATGTAGGAAAATTCTACCGTGTTTCTCATATAATAAGGCCGGGTCTTTTTTTTTTTTTGAGCCCCCCAAAAATGGCTAGGCTGTCCTTTCAGGGGTGACTTAATTCTTCCCCCTTGCATCTTCAGGCAGGTGGGCGGCGACGGCTTGGATGTTGACCTCGGCGTTGGTGGGGCACTTTGTATCAGGGTCAACGCAGGCAACACCATATCCAGGTGTGCAACAAAAGTACTTCCTAACAGCAAGCCCCCCCCCATTTCGCATGTTTTAATATAGGCTTTAATTTGGGGGGAGGGGCTTAATTTCATTTCATGCCTATAAAACATGCTGGGACTTCCTATTGGGGGAGGCCGTATTGTTGGAGAAACAGGGTAGTTCAGAAGTAGTCCGGAGTGAGCCATACCAGCAAAGTAAAGTATTTTATATTCATTACTCAGATTTAGATTTAGATAAAGGCTCAGCAAGATGAGCAAGGGTCCAGATTTTCTAGACTCCCTAAACCGCTGGCTCAATGAAAGATCACTGTGAATACGCTACTGCTCCTGGACAAAGATCTGTTAACACTACCCTTAATTTTTTTCCAATCCAAGGGAGAACATTGTTCCAGCCACACTTAAGCTCTTTCAGGCTGAAATGCTAGCTCAGCTTCTTTATGGGACTCTGGTTGCACCTCATCTTGTAGGATGTACCCTGGAAAGGGTACAATCTAAAATCAGAGCAGCTCTCCAGATACCATGCTGTATCTCAAATGCACATCTACAAATGGGGACACATATGATAAAACCTTAGTCAACTGTGTGTCTAGCTTTTATAAGCCTTTGGTTGAAATTCGATTTGTATCCTCAAAGGCTTAGCACCATTAATTCTCAAGGACAATTTTCAGTCCATTTGGATCGAGGCTGTTCAATATAATCTTTGAAATCCAGGGTTCTCTTCCATCAGAAAGCTTTCTCAACTGATCAACAGCAAGTGTGATTACCTCTATAAAAGCTGAAGTTTTAAGAGTTTACTGGTTTCCAGCATTGAGGTATGTGTTGATACAATACCAAAGAGAAAAAATATCACCAATGATCTTAAAGAAGCAATTGTTGCTGCCCATCAGTCTGGGGAAGATTATAATGATATTTCCAAACAATTTAAAATCCACCATTCTACAGTGAGGAAGGTTTATTCACAAGTGGAAAACATTCAGGACAGTTGCCAATCTTCCCAGGACTGGATGTCTCAGCAAATTCACTCTAAGATCAGATGATGCAATGCTGAGAGGTTGTAAAAAATCCAAGGGTTACATCTCAGAATCCACAGGTCTCAGCATATTCAATGTTGAATGTCTTAAATGTTATTTTGTTTATTATGCATACTGGTCTATGACTACAATAAATTGATTATTGACTAGATTGGAATGATGAAGTTTGGGGAACTTAATTAAAGATAGAAAATGAGATATGAACATAAAAGGAGGGAATTTAATCAGTTTATTAGATCCAGTTAAAAATAGATATGTTATTTCTAGTAACCATTACTGGACTTTTGCTAATTAGGATGGATGACACTTTAAAGATTTATAGAGAATGTGATGAGATGCGGGATGAAGAGATTGCTATATTTTAAGATATGGTATAAGTTGCTAAAGTTCTTTAGAATTTATAAAGGAGGGTGTTATTTTTTCTTCCTCTTTTTTCTTTCTTTCGTTGCACTTTTATCTTTTCTTGTTTTTTTTATAGTTTGTATTAGCTTTATCTGTATAATGTTACCACTGCAATCCTGACTAACAGAGACTGAAATAATCCATCCCATCTAGAACACTCTATAGCTGGAATCCAACCATTATCTCCACAACTTGTTCAAAAACAGCAGGTTGGAAATGGGGTAACAGTTCCCCAAGGTGGCTGGGTCCAAATAACTTTTTAAGAAGGGACATTTAACTGCTTCCTTCAAGGTAATTCTTCTTGATCTTTGCCTTTTTGTGTCCTCTATAGCTGCTTGTATTATCCAAGAAGAGCAAGGATCTAACTTGCAGATGGCTGAGCTCATGCTAGAGGACACTGTCAACTTCTTCAGATATCATAGGCTTGAAAAATCCCAAATTGCCTGGCAAGACATTATTTCTGTCATCTCATCAGTGGCTGCCCATCTACCAACCAACTGAGATCCAGTATAAGAGTGTAGAGAAGGGTGGAGATGGTCTTGAAGAAAATATACAACACCTATTGTATTATGTAAACACCAGCTTAGCCAAGTAAGATAGGAAAGGGTAAGGAAGAAATCCAGACTGATCCTTAGTATAAAACAGAGAGAGAAAAGCCATCAAGCTATCACAATTCAATACCAAAAGAATTCTAATATTTATTGGGTGGTCCCAGCTTAGTTTACTTCCAAGAGAGAGAAAGTATCCTCAAAATGCTTAGAAATTGCTCAGATGTTGCTAGAGCCTCTAAGGGCCCAGTCATGCAATTAATACTGCTAGATGGCGCTCTGAGAATGCAGTAACCAACCATGGAAAAGTACCCATACTTCATTGCTCTTAGTGCCACAGAACAGGCGCAAGTGTGGACACATGCCTGTGTCTGATCATATTTTACTCATCTTCTCTTCCTGTGTTTTCCCCAGTAAACCAAAGACCATCTTGAATCAGCAAGAGTGTCAGGTCACTTCAGAGCAGCCCCATCAAAACTCTTGCCTATCTTGATCCTCCATAGTTCAGCCAATCTATCCAAGAGTTATCTGCATGATGGCTGGGAAATCCCCTAAATGCCCAGTGAAAATAAAGTGGGTCCAGAAGGTGCTTGGAGCAGATCAATCCCCCTATGGAGATTGGTGCCGATTGTGAATTCCAGCAGCTGGACAACTAACTGATATTGATGTCCTTGACCCTCTGATCCTGAATTCCTCCAAGGTGAATACTAGTATCATGGGCGTACCACAATAGTTTGTGTCATGGTAACTTGGATGGATGGATTTGATTTAAGGGTGGATTTGATTTAAAACAAGTCGATTTAAATTGGCTTGAAGGCTTGATTTAAATCAAGTCGATTTAAATATAATTTTTAAAGAGCAACTGTCATCTCTGTCCCGTAGCAGCTCCTCCTCTGACCTGCTATTGACTCACCAACAATTCCAACATTGCAGAATATACAGCCTCATGCTATATAACTCAGCTCCATTTCATGCCGAATAAACTAAATTAATGTATTTTTAAATAGAAAACTATCTTTAGATAGATTTTAGTCCAAAAGCATTTTATTAAAACAAATTTGATACAAATAAAAAAAATCCAATTTAAATTTTAAAAAATCTGATTTTTTTTTAAATTTTTTTTTAAAAACCATAGATTTTTATCCACCATGGTTGCCACGTATGCCACAAATTCCTGACAACTCATGCCTCCCATTCATGGAAGATGTCATTTCCCAGTACATAAAGAGCTGGGGAGCCAGCCACCAATGATTTTCACATAGTTGCTCTTACTTTGTTCATGTAAGTCATAATTTACATGAATAAAGTAAGATTTTTAAAACTGTAATTCATTCCTCTCATTAATAAAATTAAAATATTTCAAATATGTATATACAAATGCATATTGCATAACTGCATACAAATACTTTGCACTGCTTTTTAAGCCATTAATTTCTAAGCAACATTTAAAGTTGGAAAAATGTATGGTTGCTATTTTACTTAATAGAGATGTTACTCTGACATGCATATAGTGACATGCAGTGGTCTCTTGTTTTTCTGCTTAAAATATGTGCTTAAGACTAAATAAATTATATAACATCATTAAAATCTGCTTCAAGTCAGTTTAAATTTCAAGGCTCGTCTAATTAAATACATTAGCTTCTAGCAAAAAGATAACATATATTAGTGTGATCTTCCTCACAGGGTCTTCCAAAACTTAGGGCAGATACCAAGAAGGTCATTCTCATAATTCTGCCAGAAGTACTTTCACAGTGGCTGAGTAGAGAGCAACACCTCTCAAAGACCTTAAGTCATGAACTTTATAAAGCTAACCAATTCAGTTAAACAAATCCTTGTGATTATAGTACATTATACTAAGCTTGGTTAATTTCAATTATAACTTTTTAATAGCCTACTGTTTTATGCAGACATTAGTGCAATTGCTTAATATGTGATTCAATGTATTGTGTGAACCAAGAAAATGGGATAAATGCAGTAGTAACTTGATCTGTTATATAAGAACTTAACTGCTCATGCAGTGATCCCAGAATACTGGATATTAAAAGGGGGGGGGGGAATGTCTGGACAAAGCATGGATTAGCTATAATTTTGAGCATAGCACTCAATTTTGCAGATGTTTTGTTGCAGATTCTACTTTTATATTACCATATTAATAACATTTCTTAAACTATTGGCTTTCTTTTAGTCAAACAGCACCTTACTATGCACACACAAGAGGACATAAGAGTCTTAAAGAAAGCCCAAATTATAAAAATTCTTAAAAACAAAACTTAATAAAAACAAAATGTTGAAAGACTTCTAGAGCGAAAGTCAGATAGGAGGAGGAATGTAATCGCGCTGTGGATAAAAGTGATTGGAGCTATGGACAGAAAACTGCAACAATTGAAAGCTTCAGCTTTTAGGAAACAGAAAGGATCTGTTCTGTATGAATGAAGATGTACACTATTTGCATATTTTAATGAGAGCCTAACAGTTGTATAGTGATGACTGGTCTCCTGCATGAATTCTTATGATATCCCATGCTAACATCATTTTATTTACAATTAGAAGAACAATTTTTAAAAACTTACATTAAAAATGTCCAAGAGCTCATGTGAAAACAGAAATCTTTCAAGAGTAGCTATGTTTCTTTTTAAAAAAATTAATTTGATGTAAATGGATGCCATCTAGTGGCATGACAGATGCTATAGCCTGCAGGTATAGTATTGCATTACCGATTCTCAAGATACATATTAATAAACATTCTTAAGGGAATGAGCAGAAATACCAAATTGCTTCAAACTCTGGATGTTTTGGAAGAAAGCATTTTAAAATTATTTATTTCAATGTAGGATATAGATATCTTATTGTAAATAAACCAAAAATGGGGGACAAATTACTATGAATTCTAATCTCAATCCCATTTGTATAAATAGTAAATATAGTTGTCAATGCAGGTGGCAAGCCCATATGAATGGTTGAACAAGCAGCATTGACAAACACAATAAAAGTATACATGCAGAGATCCTATATGTTGGCTGTGAAACTAAATCCAAAGCTGTTGTATTGCTTCCTATTGGCATAATTTGTATTATGCCATAAGTATACACTATTCTAAAAATTTAGAGAAAAATTGCTTCAATTATACTTCTGGTTAAATTTGGGGAAGAGGAATGAGTGTTTTCAGCTATAAGAGTTACATAAAATGTAGTTTATAACTGCTTTTCCAAGAAAAGCCTTCATTTACATTGGGAAACAATCATTTATTGTTTGAGTTCAACAGATGGGTAGAGAATGACTGAGTTATCTTGTTAAGCCTGGTGTCATTCTCCAGTTAGCACAAAAAGAAAAAAAAAGAAAGGGAAGCACAGTAGAACATCAAATCTATCTACATGGTACAATATAGGTTATAGAATACTGATAATTATTACATCTCATCATTTAACTCTTAGCGACCAGACTTATGAACAGAATACTGAGTATTGCCCTAACACAGAGGTAGACAATTAATTTCCCCCAGGACTCATATGAGAAACTGGGATAGTGGAGGGACGCTGGCCCACTCCACCATCACCATCCCCCACAGTGGACCAGACAGGGATGGAAGTGATCCAGTTCTTTGACATCTAATTTAATGAAAGCATTAATAACCCAATTAGAATGCTTTTAATAACTATTGATATGTTATTTTAAATTGTCAGATTAGGATCCATATGCATAACAAAATATTTCAAATTATATGGTTTTGGATCTGGATCCATTCAGGTGAATTATGGCCTGACAAGTACACTAGAAATGGTTTTCCAATGCTACTAGATCTGTAACAGTGCATATCAGAATGTTTCTTTAAGAGCAAAAATGCCTTTAAAGACTATGCCATAATACAGAAAATTGTGTGACTTATTATGCAAGACTTCATGATTTCTGACAGAATAGAAATATAGGATGAAGCATAGAAATATTCCCCTCTATATCTGATTCCAAATCATTTTCTAAACCTTCATATTTTAACAGAAAATTGTTTTCTATGTTGTGACCCATTATAACCATAGGGGAAAAAACATTCTGAAGATTTAAGTCTTCAATATATTTACTGATTACATACAAGGGAGATTTATGAAATCAAAAAGTTTCTTCTGCGTAAGCATTGCCATGATGTCAGTCAGACAAGTTTCAGTTAGGCAACAAAAGGAAATATTTATAGTAGTTTAGCATCAAATGTTTTGTTTTTTTAAAACCACATCTCAATGCCCATCATACCTCAAGCCTGCTTCAGATTACATTCCACATATTCCAAAATGTTCTTGCAAACCGAGCAATTGCACCTCAGACTTCAGGGTCCTACTAAAACACAGTAATCCCGAATACCATTGCACTTTGCTACTCCTCTCTTTAAGTCAACCTTCCAACCTTCCACATCACTCCCGGAAGCAGTTCCTGGAAAGATAAATGCAGATTAGACCTGCCCTCTTGCAACTTTTACATTCGCCTTCACTCAAAACCCAGAGGTTGCTGCAGACCGTAGGGTGCAAAATTTGGTGTAATATTTCATGCTAAGATCTCTCTCTGTGTGTGTGTGTGTGTGTGTGTCTCTCCCCCGTTTCTTTTACCATTCTAAAACCTATACAACTAAACATGATGGGTTTTGACAAGGCAGTGCCTGAATTGTTCCATTAAGGGAACATCTAGACGCCAAAATTCTACCTCACAACCAGGTGCTGTTAGAAGTAACCCGAATTACGAGAGGCTTCTGCACTTTTTAACAGTTTGGGGCGGCATGAAGGAATCATTCCGACGGGATAGACAAGCGCCAATGCGCGATGGCCCCCATCCCAATTCCCGTCCCTCAAAGCCTTTGCATAAACCACGCTACCAAATATGAATGCCTAAATACTGCCCGGTCTCTCGAGGTAAAAGCGAGAGGGGTGCGTGGGTGGGGGAGTCTTGCGAGGATGGGGCGCCGTTTGCTCTCCCCTCCGGTTCTCAACAGAGGCGCCGCCGACGCGAACTACGAAAGGTTTCGCAGCAGCCCTTTAAAGTCTTCGAGAGAGTTGAGTGCGGGAAGCGGGCGAGAGAGGAAGAAAACAATAAAAGAAAACACGCCGTTCTTCCGAAGACAGACGCCGCAGAGCCCTTACCCCCCTTCCTCGCCTACCTGTGGCCTCGACCAGCCACCAGCGGGTGGGGAAAGCAACCTCGGGCGCTCGTTGCTGGGTGGTTTCTTCCTTCCCTTCCCCCCCTCCCGCGCAAGATCGGCGGTCAAGGGAAACGGTGATTGGCTGATAATCCGCCGCCCGCGGTGCCCAGGTGAGAGCCCAACCCGAACGCGACTACGCTCGCCTACGGCTACTCTTGGAAGTGCTCAGGTGAGGCGAGAGCTCCTCCTTCCGTTCTTTTAACGGAAGGCAAGGAGGCCACGTGCCGCTGGAGTGGCGGCGGGGGGCAAGAGAGCGAGGAACTTAAGAGAAAGTCGGAGCGCGCGGGCGCGCGCGCACCGGCGATAATTGCCGCCTTTGCGACGTTCCGTTTCTGACTCCCTGTAGAAACCAGTCAATTACTACCGTAGACTAGGCTGGTTGTTGTATCGTGTTTTTAATACTTCCCAATTGCAAAGGCACCCTTTATTTCAGTTTGTCCCACCCCCCCCCCCGCCTGTTGAACTTGTCCCGAAATATTGCAAACTCTCCCTGGGCAAAAAAAAAGAAAAAAGGGGGTATTGATAGTTTGATGCAATCATTCGCCCCAACTGAGTCCTGGATCCCCCTGCAGGTTTTATCTTGGAAGTTAATCCAATAGCCCCTTTGGGTTACTTTGCTCTATTTCCATCCAGGTGAATGTCCCTCCAACTGAAAAGTAAAACCTATCGCTAAAGGTGCTTTCAAAAAAGGATGGGGTGCTTGGAAAAAGTCCAGGTATAAAATATCGGGATGTCATCAAATGCTTCATGGAAGACCAGGTTCTTCAATAAAAAAGGAAATTAAAAAAGGAAAAAGTGGTTGTTAAACGCTAAATTGATATGCCACCCTACTCCTAGTGACTTTAGGGACTGTGTCAGTATAAAGATGTGTTAAATCAGGTAAACTAAAGAACTCAGGCTTATGTCTACAAACTGTTTAGTCAAATCCAATTTTGGTCTCCAATTGTGGAATCGAAAATGACTTAATGGTACATAATAAAAAAATAAACACCTTTAAACATGTTGACATTTGACACAAATTGTAATTGACAAATTGGCCCTAGGTGTCCTGATCCTTATTGCCGGATAGAAAATAGGTATAACTACATGCCTTATCATGAGTATTGGAAAAGTCTCATAAGAAAGCGAGCAAACATGCTGCTGAACTCTGTCTTACCTTCTAAAGCCACTAGATACTTGCTGTCCACATGCAGCTTGGCTTGGGCTTAATTTTCTTGTCCTTTTATTACCTGATAAAAATGGTGCTGCATTACTTTGTGGACATGCCAGATTGGGGAAGAGGGGTGCAATTTTCTTTGCAGTCCACAATTTCTTTGTTTTTCCTCCCCTCAGAAAAGTGGCGAACAGTTCTGTGGGCCAGCCAAAGAAGAGGAAGAGTAATTTCCAATGCTGCCTGCCAGCTTGAAAGTCACTCCCGTTCCTACTGCTTTTTGCTCATCCATGATCATTTTGTTTCTCCATTTAAATAAGGAAATACCATTAAAAGTATGATCCAACAGGTCAGGGTTTGTCTATATATAAAATTTGTGGATTTGACTCCGGATATACCTGTTGTAGACATGTGCCTGAGTTCTTTAATTTACCTGATTTACAGATCTTTACACTGACACAGTCCCCAGAGTCTCTGGGAGTATGGTGACATATAAATTTAATATATACTAATAATCCTAAGGATCACTGGCTGGCATTCTTCTTTCAGGTATTCTATTGATATAAGAGATGCATTAAAATTAATTTACTTTTCCAATCATTTCTTGGATTTGCTTATTGAAGATTTGAACTTGCTGGAGTTCTTACTCTTAATGTTTTTTCATTTGAATGGATTGGACAAGATTTTCCTGTTCTCCATTTTGTATCCTGATTATTTCCAATACACCAAATACCGAGTTTAATAAAAACTTATACCATGATTTTTTTTATTAGTCCCAATTGTATGGTTTTTTTTTATAAACCTTATAATTTGTTTAGTTATTTTTCTGCTGAAATTGACAGTTCAATGAGTCATTAGAATCTTAATTTACATTCAAAAGAATGTAAAACACATATTTGCCCAGAATAAATTCTGACTAGTTTCATGTTAAATACTTTTAATGATGTGAACATGTTTGAAACCTTAGCCATTACTAGCTGGATTGTAACTATAGTATCTGTGATTTCCTTACTGTATTATGAATACTGAAAATCAAGAACACTAAAAAATAACAATAATATCAATATAAATTTGAGGGATCCATGGTGCTCTCTAAGCTTGCTTGTTTTCTTGCAGATATTTCATTACCCAAACTAGGTAACATCATTGGTGCCAGACTACCAAGCCCAGAGAGCACCAAGGATCCTCATTTCAACCCAGAACTACAAATATTCTGCTTTATCAGTATATATTTCCATGGTACTAATCTCCCATTCCCTGATTTCTTGAATAAATTATTTTATTGCACAGTGTCAGTTCCTTGCTTTATAAGGCACTGGAAATCTTTCTTTAGTATACAAATATCTGTATACAGATTTGTAATTCTAAAATATACTTGTTTCTTAAGAACTCTGAAATCCATTCACCTGATTTCCATAAAGTAATTACATTTAACAGTTTAATTGGGGTGGCATTAATTGTAAATGTGAGCATTATTTCTCATACTGATAAAAGTAATACTGTTATCAGAACAATTAATAGATGAGATTGTCCAGCTTTCACCAAAATAAAAGCCCACAAGTCAGTATGTTCAAGTATATCAAAATGTAAAGGTTTTACAACTTTAGATTGCCTATATATTGCTTTATCATTTGAAAGTAAAATAGTTGCTGGAATTCTTATAAGCTTAAATTTCTTTTAAATTAGTAATATTATTCAGAGCTCTTAAGTTTCTACTTGCTTGGATTAACTTCTCAGAGGCTATGGAAGCTGCTTGATGAAAAGAAAAATGACAGACATGGATGGAGTCACACTAATTATGAAAAAGTTCTTGGAATGCTGAAGTGAAAGACTCAGAAGTGAAAAAGTTATGCAAGAGAGTGATTGCTGCAAACAATGAGACAAAACTATTTTATTATGGGGATATAGAGAAAAAAGATAATTGCAAAGAATGTCAAAGAGAATAAGGGATTTAAGATTGGACACAGCAAGGAAAATATAGAGTGATATTGATAAAAATAAAAATCTATTTTGGAAGTAGGTAAAGACAGCTGAACAAGGACCTTCCACCAGAGTATTATTAAAAATAAAAAGGATTAAATGTATTTGTGTAAGGGAAATTTGTAATGACATTAGAGATGAATTGGTTTAGAATGTGAGTATGTATATGTTTGTGCTGTACATAGTGACGTTTTGCTGAATAAAAACCAAATGATTTGCAGTGACTGTTAATTATTTGTATGCAATTGAAAAAACACACAAAAATCTGTGTACTTTGTAGTTGAACTTGTGTACCTTAATTCAAGTTTTATTACAAATAGAAAAATGAAATTTTAATATGTGAAAATCCTGATAGAAACTTAATAGGCACTATATAGTCTTTTGCAAGGAATGCTGCTGAAAGAAACCAAATGGCTGTGTATAAGAGCATGTTTCTGCCCAAAATTGTTGTTATATGGAAGCATGTTAGGTGAAATGTTGAACGTTGAATGCAATGGAATGGGGTAATTAAATGCATGTGGTAATACAAGAGATAGACATGAGAACACATAAGAACTGAATGTTTACGGAATACAAAAATAGGCAATCCATAAAGAGGTACAGGTAGTGCTTGACTTACGACCACAATTCAGTCCAAAATTTCTGTTGGTAAGGGAGATAAGTGAGTTTTGCCCCATTTTACAATCTTTTCTTGCCACACTTGTTAAATTAGAGACACGGTGGTAAAGTGAATCTGGCTTCTCCATTGATTTTGCTTGTCAGAAGTTTGCAAAAGGTGATCACATGACCCAGGGGTATTGCAACCATCATAAATGTGAGCCAGTGTGCAAATTTTGATCACATGACCATGGGGATGTGGCAACGGTTGTAAGTGTGAAATATAATCATAAGTCCCTTTTTCTCAGTGCCATTGTAACTTTGAACAATCACTAAATGAAAGATTGTAAGTGGGGGATTATCTGTAATATGTTGGAATGTGAAGGGAAAAACCCAAGAAAATTTCCTCTAGAATTGATGAAATTCTCAAAATGAGGGAAGTGACAAGTTTAAAGAAAAATAACCAACCATAAAGCAAATTATGAATATTAGAATGTTTGCAAGAACAGAAAAGTGGAGACAGAGAATCATGTTGATATGAATTATTTTCCTTGTTTCCTTTCCCTTTTGTTATTTCCTGTCTTTTAATTTCTACTCATTTGCGTCCAGATCACAACTTATTAGTGAAATGTTTTGAAATCCAGTTTCTAATTTGAATAAAGTAATATTCAGAAGGTATCCATATTGTGGCAGTTGATTAGCTGTTAACAATCTGATTAATTTTTCTTTTTTGAAGATAAAAATGGACACTTTTCAGGATTTTTTTCTTGGAAATACAAAGCAGTGAGAGCACCAAGGCTTTCCAAAAAAAACATTGCCAGCATCCAAAGTGTTAAAAATGGAAAGGGGATCCCTTGTTTTATGCAACTAGAGGTATGAAGAACTTAAATATTCTATGAAAACTGAGTGAAGCAATAGGAAATGGAAAACTGACTCCACTCCCTACTCCAAAAACAGAGTAGAAGGTGAGTTGCTAGGCAACCTCATATGGAACACTGGCCTTTTTCATGAAGATAACTGCACTTACCTCTCTGGCTCCCTCACGGGAGTTAATTCAAAGGCCATGTATTAGAAGGAAGGCTTAGGATATGAAATACTATTAAAATATTGATAAAAGCTCTAATAGAGTCTTTCTACTTCACTGGGCAGAGAGTAAAATCAAGGAAGGAAGAAAGAGATCCACTGTTCCCTCATGGAGACAGAATGGCTTCAAATGGCTTATCTGAATCCAACCAGGTGGAAATGTGGCTGAAAGGCAGGATATTAAAAGCTCTATTGGAATCAGAATTAGTGGCACAGTATCTTCCATAAATTTTTCATGCAAATTAACACACCGATGAATGGAATAAACCTTGGCTTTATTAGCTGTTAAACTGTTCTTCCTTCCTGTTTACATTTAGGGTGGCCGAAGAAAAGGGCAGGAGCTGAACGATAGAGGAACAAGAAGCCAGTCATGCTGCAATTTAGATCAATGTGAAAGATGCAGATGTTGGTGTTCTCGTTGAAATCTAGCCCTTCTATCTACTTTTATGAATTATAAAGCAGTGTTACTTTTATCCAGTGCAATATCAGAAGACCAGAGTTTTATTAGCAATATCATTGTACGGGTCTGGAATATTGTCCTTCCTTTTCTTTCTAAAAACAGTCCACCCCATTTTAGTGGTACTTGGATTATTTGCTATGGGAATAAGAAGGATCCCACCTAATAACTAGAATAATCTTAGGCTATTTTCATCCGGCAAGTTATTCTTTAGTAGCTTTATTGCGCGATATCCCCTTAAGCCCTTCAATAGGAAGTTTCTGGGAATTACAAGTTTTAATCCACAAAAGAATTAAAATGCCTATTGTAACAGTAATAAGCAAAATATTGTACATAACTGGTCTTCCCACATATAACTAGACTTCAGTTCAGTGTCAAGTGAAGCAAAATTAAGTGCCTAAAATAAACATGTATAGATGAATGTAAATCTTGTCCTATAATGGTTACAGATAACAGTCTGAAAAATGGAGGGAGAATGTAAAGTTGAAGTAAAAAGTTACTTCCTTTGCTGTTAAAATCCTTGTTTAGGTATAGTTCGCATAAAAGGAAGAGTTTTTTAAAAAGCAAAACCAGCAGAACTAAATAAAGACTGTTGGTGTACTGTATAGCAACAACTGGTACAGCAACAGGATGTGGATATGACACACAAAAAGGAACCAACACTCAACCACAAGGATGAATCCTTAACATCATCACTCTTTGAAAATTGAAATTGGATTTAAGACAGGAAGTTGCAGGACCTAATCACAGAACCCACACTTCTGCAATAACTAAAAATAGATTTGAGAATCTATTTCTATATAATCATATACAGTAAATATTCACTTACTTTTCCAAAACAACAACCTGTAACACTGATTGATAGTTTTCAAACTTCATAAGATACCAATGAGAAAATTATTTAAATATTTTATACGGGGCCTGAGAGTTGGACGATGCAGATATAGGTACAGAGCTTTACATGGTATAGTTTTAATTCTGCTATTTCTCTTGTATTAATACCATACAAGATTGGTTAAAAACAAGACCATAAAGGAAGTAACAGTGGAATTTTCTGCTTTGCATTCCCCCTCCCTACTTCAGGTAGACTCACCTACATACCTCCTTTTATAAGAGGAGTGTCAAACTTGATCGTGTCACGTGACGTATTGTGACATTTTTTTGCCTTTGTGGAGCCGGGGTGGGTGCCAGTTTGACAGGCCTGTTTTATAGAACCACAGGCAGAATTGGCAAGTAATAACTATTTCAGGGCTAATGCCCACCTCCCCTGAAAGAACATTTAAACTTCCAGCTACTATACCCAAGATTCAAATTGTTGAACCTAGTAAACCTAATAGATGCACTCAGCTGGTTCCTTTCTGTATTGGGGCAACAGAAAAACAGTATAGCTAAAGGTTTTCATAGATTTGTCACATGTGGAAAGGTACAGACCATCAGTCCTGTTTGGTGCATTTCCCCAAAATGTTACAATAAACACTGCTAGCTATAAAAACTGTTTGATTTTAATATGTAAGCCTTAGAAAAATCCAAATGTGGCAAAAGGAAACATTGCAATGTGTACTACTTTTTTTTAAAAAAGCAATCTTACCCAACCCAGATTTTCCACAAAAAATGTAATAAAAACACTGGAAAAATGCATGATCAAGGAGCTATTCTTTCCCTTTAAAAATTACTGTATTTACCTTCAACTGATTTAGCAAATGGTTGGAAGAAAGCAGATTATGTGAACATGTTTTTGAGACAAAACAACAAAAATGGTTGGGTGGTGCATATATCCGTTTAAACTATAATATATTCAAAATAGCATAGGCATTCATTGGATCAGTAAAACCAAAGTTTCTCAGAAATAATCTTGTCTGGAAATTCTAAATCTAGGCAGGCAATAAATCACTTGATAGTTATTTGTCACAATAGCCCAAAGAATCAATTAATAGCAAGTATAAGAGCCTATTGTATCTTTACCAGAAGTGATAATAAAAAGACAGCACTATATTTACTCAGAGATATACATAACCATTTGGATGTTAATCCTTGTTTTTGATTTAAATGTTGGGCTTTAATGTAGGCAACTGAAGTTCAAATATCTCCTTAAGTTTAAGAACTCCATGGTAATTTTAGAAAAGGCTTCATTTCTTAGTTTAATCCACTTTGCAAAAGATGGAGAGATTGAACATTGTGGAAGGACAACAGAAAACAATACAGCTGTTAACATGGGGATCATCAGGAAAAGCCTGGCATAGAGATCTTTTATTTTATATCATATTCTTCATACTGTTGCATATTTATATGCAATATTGCACACAAACATGAAAAACTGAAGTCTTATTGCTATAGTAAAATAAATTTAAATAAGAATTAGGTCATTGCTTAAGGTTTCCAGAAAAGGATAGCTTAGAAAAACAAAAGTTAAAACGAGATGAGAGAGATACAAATATAACATTGTAGTATAGTACTTTATTTTCCCCTTTCTTGTTATTCCTGGGGATTCAGAGTAGGCCCTGTTTCAAAACATTGATTACACTCCAAATAAATCACCTCCACAATGTAGAAAGAGCAATAGACACAGCTGGAAGTTCTCTCTACAGATTTCTCTGCCACAGAGCGATCTTCAAAGAAAGTTCCAGCTGTGCATGTTGTTTCTTTTACTCAGTTTATCTGGATTGCAGCCAGTATCTACAGGAGGAAAGTGAGACACCAATGATCTTTTGTTTTTACTGAACCCTAAATACTAAAGCAGCCTGTTTTTAAAATAAATCTACAAGTAGTCTCTGCTGGTTTTCTCTGGGAACTAGTTGGGTGTGCAGCATCTTCAATTTTACAGATGACCTTAAAGCTCCTTTTATATTCCAAATTAACACAAATGCATTCATCAATGTTCAAGTCCTTAAAGAGGCACGTGCTTTATCAAGTATTTCTTTTTTTATCTTCGGATAATTTGGATGTGCTTCTAAAACCTGTTGAATAAAAAAAACTTGCATTGAGACTGCTTTTCAAGCTACAAGTTAACTTTAAAACAGATGTAACTATATTGTCTAGACTTGCTCCACCATAAGTTTATATGTCTGCTTTATTCTGATTCTTAACATGCAGCACCCCCATTATCAGATAGTCGGTGTAGTTTACCTTATGACAAATAGTGATAGCATCAATATGTCTCTTGGCTTTCAGATAATTAAAAGCTAGCTTGAAACCTGTAAAAGCAGAATGGTACAGATTTTGCAAAGGAATATTTTTAAAGAAATAAAGAACTAGGGTGATATGTGCATGTTTCTTTCTACAGTTTAAATTATGGTACAAATAGAAGATTTTAAAATGAGAAGGTAACCTACAGGTCTGTTATACGTGATTTCCATCTCAGTCAAAAGTTACTGTTATCCCTCAAGTTCAAAATCCTTAACAACACCAAACAGGAAAAGAAGGGACAAACCACAGGTATCAAACTCGCCGCATCATGTTGACATCACATGATGTTTCACAACCGTTTTCCCATTCAAAGAGCTGGGGTGGGCATGGCCTGCGCATGACATATCCAGCCTGTGGGCTGCCATTTTGACACCCCTGGGGCAAACCATAGGGACATTTTTCTTTTAATTTCCCACCACCCATCTCCTTTCATTCACATTTTCTGACTTTAAAAAGTTGCTTACTACAACACTTTCACTTCAGCTCACAAGCACATGATTTGAAAAGAACATCCCAATCCATTTCCCAGGCTCATCTGCATGAAATATCAAATCAAATATCTGTATCACTGTCTTTAACCAGCTTTTTACAATTTAATAATAATAAAATTACAGCAAAAGAAGGAACAGTTTAATATAACCATTAGGGAAGGGAAAAATGGGACAATAAAACAGCATGTCTAACTATACATTTTGCACAGTTGTATAACTTGGTTAAAAAAAATGGCCACCTGATGTGTAAGCATAGGGTTAGTTAAAAGATAATGAACATAACATTTATCTGATTGGCCCTTGTAGTTAGAAATTATTGGTGAAATCAAAGCACGTCTTGCGGCACCATAGAAGGGGCACCTTATTCACAGAGACGTTGGCCCTGTGGTTCTAGAGAGATAGAAACTTTCACCTACGTTCTCGTACTGTGCATGAAATAATCCTCAACAGGTCGTATGGAACTGAGGAAACCTTTGGATATAGCAAAATCAGGTATATTTATATTAACTTTGCTCAGGTTAGAAAGTGCTGAGCTATATCGTAAATGATAACAAGCTGGCTCTATGGAGCTTGGGCTTGGACAGACTCAGTACACATTATTTTTATGGAGTTCATTCTGGAGTTGATTACATTTCAGTAGTAGGTATGCAGCATTCCTCAGTGGCTTCATGGAATGAAGAATGTAACAACATGGATTTGAGCTTGAAGGCCAGGCAGAGGAAAAGGGCTTGTAGATTTAAGAGTTGAATACAGAAAGCTACACTCATCTCCCAAATTCAGGTGAATTTGCTCCTCCCAAGGCCTTACAGGTATCACAGAGGACTAGAATAAACAAGAGAAAGAGCTGAATTTCTACAAATGTTGAAGCAAGTGTCATTTTTCTCCTCTTGCAGTTTAAGAACTTTTGAAGGGATAAATGAGAGGAGAGCTTGCTGTCCTTGAAAGCATATTTGTTTCTATCCACAAGGAAATTAAGTAGCTTCCCTTCAACTAAATTCTACCTTAGTCAACCTGAGAGTTCTTGGAACCACACTGCTCTCTGCTGCCAACAATCTCCAATAGCATAAAATCAGTTACCATACATAACACTTAACCACATAAATTTGAAAAATGTAGGGGTCTTCTCTAGAAATCCAAGAAGTGATGTATCCAGGTATGTACTTTTCCATTTGGACACATGATACCTGTCTATGAATGCCTACTATAAGGTGTGTGTAGGGGTGTGTGTGTGTGTGTGTGTGTGTGTGAGACAGAGTGTACACATGCACAAAAATAGCAAAAGCAATAGATTTATATACCGCTTCACAGTGCTCTACAGCCTTCTAAGCGGTTTACAGAATCAGCATATTGCCCCCAACAATATGAGTCCTCATTTTACTGACCTCAGAAGGATGGAAGGCTGAGTCAACCCTGAGCCAGTGAGATTCGAACTGCTGGCAATTGGCAGTCAGCAGAATTAGCCTGCTATACTGCATTCTAATCACTGCGCCACCATGGCTCAAAAAGCTCTTCTGAAAAGTATAGTGTTCCAGGATGAAAACATGTAGTCTCCTTTAATTACATTACTGACATTCCAAATATTTTTAAAAGAGACAGGTACCAATTTTTATTTTTTATTTTTTTTTGGGGGGGGGGGGGGGGGGGGAATTAGCAATTTTCTATTACATACAGAATGTTATTTCCATATGATATTACATTGCAATAAATACATGCATCATACTTATAAAAAGGAGGGATGGCATTTTTGTTTTCTGAATTACTGTTTTATGTTCTGTTTTGCTAATTTAACCACAGGCTGCCTCTTGATAAAATCAAACACAATTTGTTAGCCTGCAGCAGAGTGCCATATATACCTGCTCAAAAGTAGATTTCCAAGCAAACATATGTAGCATCTACTTGGATGACAGCATTGTCATCTTCTAATGGGGTTGTTAATACATTTGACTAATTTTAGATACATTCAACTAGATTTCTACTATTTGAAGGAATGTATTTTCCAATTAAATTTATAATAGGCGTTCTAATACCAATTCCCTAATATTCTAATGCTAGGTCATAGCAGGTGAAAAATGATCTGGTGAAGAATAGGAGAACATATAATCTGACCTGATAGTAGGTGCATGTTTCCCATTTCCAAACTCTGTAAGATTAATAAATGATTGGCCGTGGCTGGTAATAATTATTGAAAGACCAGAAAAAGCAGAGGCCAAAAATAGACCTACCAATGGCTGGATTAGTTTGGTTCCCATATTTCCAGGCCATCTCATAGTTTAGAGCTGCATCTCTGTAAGCTTGCTCTTTTTCCATAATGTATCCCATATATTCATAAGCTTTGCAACAGGACTAAAAAATAAAACGAAACAAGGATGTTATTCTTAAAGTTAGAATCCCGTTATTAAAATAATAAGCTAGTTCTGTGGCTTTTCCTATAAAGTATTGTGTGGATGTTAGACTTAACCAGAACTTTCCCTTTGTTTACTAATACAGGTAGTCCCCAACTTATGACCTGAATTGAGCCCAAAATTTCTGTTGCTAAGTGAGACATTTAACTGAGTGTTGCTCCGTTTTACAACCTATTTTGCCGCAGTTGTTACGTGAATCACTGCAGTTGTTAAGTTAGTAACGTGTTTGTTAAGTGAATCTGGCTTCCTCGTTGATTTTGCTTGTCTGAAGGTCACAAAAGGTGATAACATGACCCCAGGACATTCCAACCGTCATAAGTATGAGTCAGTTGCCAAGCATCTGAATTTGGATCACATGACCTTGGGGATGCTGCAACAGTTGTAAATGTGACAAATGGTCATAAATCACTTGTTCAATGACGTTAACTTTGAAAGGTCACTAAATGAACTGTTGTAAGTCAAGGAAAGGAAAAAGAAATAACTTAGAAGAATTGCTTGAACAGCCAAGGACTGTAAGGAAACCTATTATGACCTATAGCTGTAGCCATAAGCCTCTTCCTCTTAAATGCTCCTTTCAAATCTCAAGAGATAGATTAACCAATTCATAGTTTTAAAATGGTTTCCGGTTTGCTAATTACCCTATTGTGACGAAGGCATCGCTTTAGTAATTCACTCGCCATGTCATATTTTGAAGACTGGATGTAAATATCTGCAAGCGAAAGCCAACTTTTTTCAAACTCTTCGGCATCAATGGGATTCCAGTTCATTTTGGAAATTCGCTTCAACTGGTTTCTGGCTCTTGGGGTTTGCTTTAAAATCATGTATGCTGTAGCCATTCCCAAAAGTGCTGGGACATGATCCTTCTGCAACAATAGATGGAACAGAGAAGATAAACTGAGAATGCTACAGAAAAATAAACTTTTGCCAACAGTGTAGATTGTGATGCACATTCAGTCCCAGTCTAAAGAGCTGTGGTGGCACAGTGGTTAGAATGCAGCACTGCAGGCTACTTCTGCTGACTGCTGGCTGCCAGCAGTTCAGCAGTTCGAGTCTCCCCAGGCTCAAGGTTGACTCAGCTTTCTGTCCTTCTGAGGTCGGTAAAATGAGGACCCAGATGGTGGGTGGCAATATGTTGACTGTGTAAACCGCTTAGAGAGGACTGTAAAGTACTGTGAAGTGGTATATAAGTCGAAGTGCTATTGCTATTAATGGGCAGTGTTCTCAAGAACCCTAAACATTTTTCTGTAAAACAGGTGCAGGAAAACAGATTCTTATAGTACGGTCTTTCTCAACTGTGGCAACTTTTAAGATGTATGAACTTCAACTCCCAGAATCCTATGCTGGCTGGGGAACTCTGGGAGTTGCAGTCCACATATCTTAAAAGTTGCCAAAGTCGAGAAACACTGCTATACAGGTAGTCCTCCACTTATGACCACAATTGAGCCCAAACATTTCTGTTTTTAAGTGAGATATTTGTTAAGTGAGTTTTGCTCCATTTTATGACTCTTCTTGCCATAGTTGTTAATCTGCAAGGGTTAAGTTAGTAACATGGTTGTAAAATGAATCAGGCTTCCCCATTGACTGTGCTTGTCAGAAGTTTTCAAAAGGGGATCCCATGACCCCGGGACCTTGCAACCGTTCTACGTACGAGCCAGTTGCCAAGCATTTGAATTTTGATCACGTGATGCTGCAACTATGTGAAAAACGGTCATAAGTCACTTATGAGCAAAAGACAGGAACATGGTTATCTATAA